ATGCCAAATACAGTAACGACAATAGGTCTCATTCCCCTGATCCTGAAAGATCCTCCAAAAAGACGAGTAAGAAGAGGCTGTTAAAATCTCAGGGCTGGGAGGAATAGAGATGTTACTGGTGCCCGCTCGACAATTAATGGAATGACAGTGATACAGTGACAGTGAATTACTTGCTTTTATATTTCCCCTATAGCCTTTTCATATTTTACTATAGAGCAATGTTCTTTGCATAAACACAGAAAGACCTTAATGCTATGCTCCTGATATTTGGGAGTTTATTGACTCTGAAATATATCTACTTCTGGGCACAATTATTTGGTCATAATTACTTGACTCAGGCTTCAGTTGCTGTAGTTCCTAACACCCCAAAAGGGAAGTTCTGCTGTGGGACTGGGATGGACCCGGGGTGAGTGGCGAAGCTACCCCAGCATTGAAATGGGACAGTCTAGAAAGCATAAATGCATGCTCTTGATGCAAGCTGTTATGACTTAAGAGACAGGACCCCAATGGTCAAGGATAAGCTGATCTGACCTGAGGACTTAGTCTGGCATTTACGGTAAAAGCCTCGCTTTCTCTCAGAGCCCAGAGAACTAGACTTTGGGATCTTTATCTCTTGTGTTGACCCAAATGACCACAAGTCTGGGTAAGAAGTAGAATTAATTGTTTGACTAATTGTTTGACTTAATTGCTTCACACACACACACACACACACACACACACACACACACACAGGACTAGAGGGATAGAGAGAAGCAATAAAGATATCCCTGGGAGACAGAGTGTCTCCTTGAGTTTATCTTCCCCAGAGAATGGCCTCTGCTGGAATATTTTACCTCTGTAAATCACACGAACATGCAGTCCTACACCTCTGACCCCTTCAGATGTTCTATAAAATGCTGGCACCTCTGCATTAAATGGGCCATTTTCACCATGAGGCTGTGGTCCCCCAGTCTTTCTGTCTCTCTGGGGGAAGGACGGGAGGTGGCTCTCAGTCACCAAACGCACACGTTGTCACGCAGCACTCACACATTATTTTGTTAACTCACAAATAATGAAGTAAAGCAGTGTTTGTTAAGTCACCATGCTCATTGAGGGTCCAAAGGGTGAATCTGCTGACCCAGTCCCTTGCCTGCTTCTCCCACTCCCCTCAGTGGGTCCCCAGTAGGTCTAATACAGTAGGGTTCTTTGATGTCTGATTGCCCATACTTGTTTAGAATAAATCACCCAATATTTCTCAAGGAAAAAATAACAATCAGAAATAATAAACAGAGGATTAAGGCAAACAGAAGAAAACAAAGCAGATTGGCTCTCGAGCCTCAAAAACCCAGAATATCCCAGGGTTGCTGCGAACGTCTCCGAGCAACCCGCCCCGTGGAATTTGCAGCTGCGTCCAGCGTTCCAGAGGGGGCAATTAACCCGAGCAGAAAGAAGAAGAAAACACTTTATTACATGATTTCCTTTCCTTACCGGGCTCCAGACAGGCAGATGTGTGCACGAGTCCACGAGTCTTCGGTCCTCAACGTGCCAGAAATAAAAAGAGCGGAAAACACAATACGGAGAGGTGGACTTAGACAGAGGTCGAGGAGGGCTGTGTTATCGGGCAACAAGCTGATGCTCGCCCGGCCGGACCCCTCGCGGGATCTTAAGGTTCCCTTGGCATTGGAGTACAGGTATAAACCCCCTGCCTGGTTGCTTCCTTTCGGAGCAAATCTCCTTCAGCCTTTACGGGATCCACGGAACCGCGGGTTAGAGCCCACTCAGACCCCGTAGCCAGAGCCGTGGGGCCATACTCAGTCACACACACGCACGCACACATCATTCATGTTAGTAGAGTGGGGACAGGGGTGCCCGTGAACGTGATGCCAGCGCTCAAGAGGGATCTCGGCGTAACCTCCACGTGTTCGGCCACCACGTTCACCAGACACACGGAGAACAAGGGAGAGTTGAAAGGAAGAGAGTGAGTGGATTAGAGCTCAGAGCTGAGGGCTTCCAAGCCAAAGGGACTCGGAGAGCCCCGACTGTTCAGCTTGCCTTCAATTTATATATTTTGCACGCATTCCATCCAAACTTTCCCACCCTTATCTGGACATAACACGGGTACAAGAAATGAAGATGGTCAGCACATTTCGTCCTAATTGGGACATATATCTTGTCTGCAAATGGTCCTTCTCCTGTTCTTTATCTCTATGGACCGTTGCCCTGCCGTCTGGGTGGTTTCGTGTTTGGCTCGCACTTTTTGTTCTGAGTTACATAACTATTATTATTTTCTTTTAACTATTGGTTTAACTAACTCCTATGGTTTCTGTCAACTCTTTTGGTGGGGGGCTTTTCTAGCGGGGGGGTCACACCTGGCGATGCACAGTGGTTACTCCTGGCTCTGCACTCAGGAATCACTCCGGGCTGTAGATCAGGGGACCATATGGGATGCTGGGAATCAAACCTGGGTCGGCCTCGTTCCAGGCAAACACCCAATCTGCTGTGCTATCACTCCAGCCCCGGTTTCTATTAACTCTTATTGTTCAGTTTTATGTAGGGATTATGTGAAGAGGGACAGGGAGAAAGAGAGAATAACATCTAAGAGAGAACATGGGCTTCTACAGAGGGGAGAGATCGTAGGGCCCACATCTCAGGTGGAGATGTGGGCCCCCAAAGGATGTGGAGGCAACCTGCTTGCCTTTTCAGAGTTGGTTTAATAGGTTTTTCTCCTAAACTGCCGGCACTTGGGGCTTTCTACCTAGAAAAGAGTCCTTTGCTGGGATTGTAAAGAGGAAGAGTTTGAAATTTTTGATGGTCCATGTTCATGCCCTTATCAACAACCCTTTGTTTCTGCTGGAACATCTTGGAAAGGGGTGGTCTGACTTTCTCTGGATCTGAGCTACTGCCAAGTAGAGTCGATCAGACCTCAGATCCTCTGTCCAATCAATAATGTGCGTCTAGCTATGTCTTGCTACTTTAGAGCGACTGACAGTGACTTTTTTTTTTTTTTTTGCTTTTTGGGTCACAAGCAGCGATACACAGGAGTTACTCCTGATTCATGCACTCAGGAATTACTACTGGCGGTGCTCAGGGGACCATATGGGATGCTGGGAATCTAACCTAGGTCGGCTGCGTGCAAGGCAAATGCCCTACCCTCTGTGCTATTGCTCCAGCCCCCAGAGTGACTTCTTAAAATCCAAGCTTGGTTTTATGACTTGCCAAGAACTCAAAGAACTCATTGTCGGCCCTCTCCCCCCACCTGCCCATTCATACCAATCTAAGATGAAATAGTGAAGCGAAAGAGTTTTATTTGAAAACTTTATTTAGAGAAACGTGTTGGGAGGGAAAGAGAGAATCGGGCTGCTCCAGAGGAACAAAGCCGAGAGAGCACATTCACATTTCAGGCTGAGACGCAGAAGTCTCCAGGATGGAGAATGCACCCCACACACCCCAAACAGAGTTGCTTTATCCCCAAACCAACTCTAGAGTAAGGGCTCCCAAACTGTCTTGGCCTGGAGTTCTCTGCACAAAAGTTAATCTGGGTGTTGTCACAGGAAAAAGACTGTGGGCTGTTAATGGTCCTTTCATATTTTGAATTATGACCTTTGGATTCTCTTAAAAGTTTCTCCTGGTCGAGGGGGTCCACCCTTCTATGATCTCAGTTTCTGCATCCAGGTGGTGGTTCATTTTTCCATCTTCAAAGAACTCGGTATTTTTTATTTCCTCATGCCTTTGAGCTACTTTAGGGGTAGGGAATGTTTTCTTAGTTTTATTATTTCCCAATAAAACTCACTACCAGTCTTCTTTATCTGTATACATCAGTTTTATAATTTTTCATTCATGGCCATGGGGGACTCCTATAGTCTGTTTATAATATTAAACAATATATAGTATACCTGGTTACATATATTATATATAACCCTTTACAAGAAATACTATATAAATAGTAGTTATGTTTTTATAGGCCCATTTCCCAAGGATTCTCAGGGTCAATTCTTGGGGCCCCCCAACACAGAGCCTTGTCTGTGTGAGGCATGTGCTCTACCCTTGCACTATCTTCCCAGTAATTCATAATTACTAACTTATTTATTCGTGTTTTGTTTTGCTTTGTTTTGGCTTTTAGGGTCACACCCGGTGATGCTCAGGGGTTACTCCTGGCTCTGCACTCAGGAATTATTCCTGACAGTGCACATGGGATGCCAGGGATCAAACCCGGGTCAGTCACGTGGAAATATTCACTGTACTATCCTATTCACTGTACTATCGCCCCAGCCCCTAACTTATTTATTCTTAAACCCTTTCATTTCTGTTGGTGCTCTTCATTTGGCCCTTTACTTAGTCTTTCCATGCCTTGTCCTCTTCTTTATTGAGCAGGATCTTAGCACCAACTTTTCATGAAGTACAGTTGTCCACCAAATCCGCTCTCCCTGTCTTCACGATAATAGAACTGTGACCAGGCGCAGGTTGGCTGACCAGAGACTTTCCCTGCCTCCTCTGCAGACAATGTCCAATCGACTAAATGCCAATGTGAGGGCAGATCGTACATGCCCCACCCCAGGCCTGGGCTCAGGATGCCTCACCCACATGGTCTTCACCTTCTCTGTGGCCTAGCCCTACATAGGGCGGCAACAAACTTCGACCACGAGATCAACCTGAAGCCTGGAAAGGATGGGATGATGGCTGGAACAATCCAGAAGGTCTATAAGAGGCACAGCTTTCTCCTGACCTAGACAGTTCTCTCTCGAACTGCTTGAGGGACGGGAACTAGCGACCTGTGAGCTGCTGTCGTTCTGAGTCTCCCTGGCCAATCCTGAAGGATGATGGTCCCAATCCCAGGCTTGTGGAGGAGAAGGGGACCAGAGTGTGAGAAACCTTCTTTCTGGTCCTTCCTCTGCTGGGGTCCCAACGCCCCTACAGACACAGGCTCCTGGCCCCAGAGTGAGGTCAACCTGCCAGCACAGGGACGAGGACACAGTCTGATGACGAGAGGACAGCAGCCAACACCTAGGGACCTGGATGGCTCCTCAGCAGTGGACACAGTAGAGGTGGACGCTGCCAGTGACACGGAACACCCGGAGTCCCTCCAGGGTCTTCTGGCCCAGGCTAGTGGCGCTCAGGCCCTGCCCGTTGAGAGCCAGCTTCAGACTGCCATCCTGGCACTGGAGCAGCACCTGGGAAATGTCAGGGCCATGAGGGTGTGCGGCGGCTTCCCGAGCTGCCCCAGCTGCCCAAGGGGCTCACACCTCCCACCCCCCAGGACCCCCAGGTCCCTGCAAAAGAACACCACCAGGGCCCAGGATATCACCAGCTCATCACGATCCGTGCAGGGGATCTCCCCAGCCCAGTTCCACCCTCTGTAATAGGAGGTTCCTTCACCGGAAGGAAGAAGGGGCAGGTCTCAGGCCTGGCTGTACCTGGGAGTTGGGGCCCGAACTATAGTACAGTGGGCAGGGTGTTTGCCTTATGCTTGGCTGACCCAGGTTCGATCCCTGAGCACTGCCAGAAGTTAACCCTTGAGCATCGCTGGCCCGAAAGCCATACTTTCCCCAAAAACAGTAATAAAATAAAATAATAACATGGAGTAGAATTTCTGGTACTAATCTCTGCCATTCTTGGGTGTTAGTCTCCTATTTTGTTACTTTATGTTCCCCAGATGAATGCAATCTTTCTATGTCTATCCCTTTCTTTCTGAGTCATTTCACTTAACATGATACTTTCCATGTAGTACCACTTGTATGTAAATTTCATGACTTTGTCTTTTCTAACAGCTACATAGTACTCCATTGTGTAAATGTACCAAAGTTTCTTTAACCAGTCATCTGTTCTCGGGCACTCAGGTCATGATGTCTCACTATTAAAAATTTTTTAATTAAAAAAAACTTTATAAAAAATAATAATAATAACATGGGTGTCAGGGCTTGCTCTGATGAGTTGAGTCTGGCTTCTGGGTGCAGAACTCCTGGCAGCAGCCTGCTGGGGCAGGGGCGTTGGGGGCTGAGGCACCCTAGTGGGCTCTAGCTTCTCACCCACCCCCCAAAATGTGTATCCACCCCCAGGGGAACTCTGTGCGTCACTGTGCGTCACCTGCGGGAATTGCCCACTTGGCTCCAACCCACCTCAAAGAAGCGCTGTGGGTAGAAGAGGAAGGGGGCCGAGATGAGTGTCTTGCGTCCCCAGGGTGAGATCCAGGCCAGGGTCCTGTCTACAAAGGACGCCCTGAGCGTCACAGGCACGCGGGCAGCTTCATCCAGCAGACTCAGCGTCACGCTGCAGGATGGGGACCAGCGGGGCTCAAAGGTGGTGCTCCCCACCCCAGACCCCTCTGAGCCAGGGCTGCTGGCCCCTGAGCTGTGGGAGGTGGGAATGTGGCTGGGAAGGAAGCTCCAGAGACAAGCCTTCCAGATGGATGACAAACTCAGGGTTAAGTGCTCAGGAAACACCGAGAGTTTGCGGCATGTGGGAACACAGGACAGAGTCCCTGGCACAGTGAGCTGGTGCCCCCAAATCTCCCTCCCCTCCCCCCCGCAGGATGGAGGACCACGGAGGGCTGAGCACCGGGCGTCACCCAGGTCTCAGTTTCGCCTCCTCAGAAATGGGGATGATTGGGGCTGGAGTTATAGTACAGCGGATAGGGCATTTGCCTTGCATGCAGCCGACCTGGGTTTGAATTCCAGCATCCCATATGGTCCCCCTGAGCACCGCAGGAGTAATTCCTGAGTGCAGAGCTAGGAGTAATCCCTGTGCATGGCCAGGTATGACGAAAGAAAGAAAGAAAGAAAGAAAGAAAGAAAGAAAGAAAGAAAGAAAGAAAGAAAGGAGAATGACTAAGGTACTAGGTGGGCTGGACACGTAATGAGATTTCAAGACCACCACTGGACGAGTTGTTACCGACTGGATTCCATGGGATGCCAAAAGACCACGTGGCCACCCACCTATGAGATGGTCAGACTTCTTTATCAAGACCCTGAACGATTGGTTTGAGGCTCCTTGTGTTCCTAGAACGAGCAGATGCCATTGGGCTACATTAACACACGACAGGGACGAATGGAGACATTACTGGCAAATTGATGAGTAACAGGATGTCAAGTGATCAAGTGATCAAGGTACTAGGAGGAGGAGCAGCAGGCATTGGCGGGGTGCTGACCGTGTGTCATGAGAGTTCTGAGAACCGAGCAGGAGTTAAAAAGAGGTGGTCCAGGATCCGCGCTGCTCTGTGACTTTTTAATCCTGAACCTTAGGCAAGTCTACGTGGTGGAGAAAAACAGTACTGTATAGACCTAGAGAATTGAGTTTACTTTGGTAGGATTCTTAGAATAAAGAAGCAGGTACAAACATTGCTTAAAAGGCAGTGCTCCCAGTAGAAGTGACATCTGCACCTGTACATTCATTGTAGCACTGTTCACAATAGCCAGAATCTGGAAACAACCCCAGTGCTCAAGAACAGATGACTGGTTAAAGAAACTTTGGTACATCTACACAGTGCAATGCTATGCAGCTGTTAGGAGAGATGAAGTCATGAAATTTGCTTATGAGTAGATGAACATGGAGAGTATCACGCTAAGTGAAATGAGTCAGAAAGAGAGGGACAGATATAGAAGGACTGCACTCCTTTGTGGAATATAAAATAACATAATATGAGACGGACACCTAAGGATAGTAGACACAAGGGCCAGGAATACTGCCCCATCGTTGGAAGCCTGTCTCATGAGCTGGGGGAGAAGGCCGCTGGAATAGAGAAGGGATCACTAAGACAATGATGGTTGGAGGAATCGTTTGGGGTGGGAGACGTGTACTGAAAGATAAAGGACCAAATGTGATAACCTCTCAGTATATGTATTGCAAATCATAATGCCCAAAAGTAGAGAGAATGGGGGAAATTGTCTACCATGGAGGCAGGGGAGGGTTGGAAAGGGGACGGTATACTCAGGATATTGGTGGTGGAGAGTGTGCACTGGTGGAGGGATGAGTATTTGATCATTGTATGATTGAAACTCAAACATGAAAGCTTTGTAACTGTATCTCATGGTGATTCAATAAAAAACAAACAAACAAACAAAAATCAGTGCTCTAGGTCACCAAACCTACTTCCTAGGGTGCAGAGTAAGATCAAAGGATACCAGACACGAAATCTCGCAATTTCCTAGCGTGAAGTCAGTGTTTTATGGACACCAGGGTTTGCCTCCTGGTCATTCTCACAGGATTCCTACGTGTTTCTCTGCCCAACTAAGGAACGCACAGAGGTGGAAAGGAAGGACACACCAGCTCTGGAGCCTTGGGCTGGCAATGAGTCAGAAGCCGACGTCCGGGTCTGGGGTGTACTTGCTACGTGGCACCTGTCTCATTATGGGCAGATTCTCTTTTCTGTCTTGGGAACACTCCAAGTCAGTCACCTTTGAAACCGCACCCCTGAGCTGAGCACAACCACGTTTGGTGATGGAAGTTGCAGGGGGGTGTGGGGGAGGGGTGCTCTTGCTTCGTGCCTGGCTCAATCTCAGTGTTTTACACCACCTCTGCAGCTGCACGACTGTTACCTCTCTCACAGACAAGGAAATGGAGGCACAGAAAGGACGAACAACTGCCTTCAAGTTTGCACAGACCCCAAGTGCCCTCAGCAGAAGACAGACCCAGGTACCTGGGCCCAGAGAAGTTAGGCCGTGCAGTGCCTTTCTAGAATGAAGGAAAGGATGGAGGGAGGTCTAGGAAGAATTGGAAAAGGAAATTGAGGAAAATGAAACGGAAAAAATCCTGTTTGTGGGGTTCTGAGGGGAAGGGGTGCAGGAGCGCCCCCTGTGGGAGGCGTGGGGCAGCAGCACTCAGCATCAAGAGGCTCCTGGAGCTTCAGGCACCTGCTTCCCCTGGGGTAGGCCCCCGGCCACCTGGGAGAACGCCCCCTCCTCTGGGTGTCAGCCTGCACCCTCCCTGAAGGGTCTGATGGGAGTCTGGTAGAAAAAATGCTTCCAGGATTGCAGCCTGAACCCTGGTCCCAACCTGATCCCTCTTTTCCCAGCCTCCGCTCACTGCTCCTGTGCAAGGTAGGCTTCAGGCTGGAAGTTTCTGTTTATTGTTTTGTTTTTGGCTCTTTGAGTCACACCCGGCGATGCACAGGGGTTACTCCTGGTTCTGCACTCAGGAATTACTCCTGGCAGTGCTCAGGGTACCCTATGGAATGTCAGGGATCGAACCCTGGTCTGCTGCATGCAAGGCTAATGCCCTCCCCGCTGGGCTATCGCTTTGGTCCCAAGACCGGAAGTTTCTGGAGCTGGTGGCTGGTCCATGGATGCCTCCCCTCCCTGCCTCGCTCCCCACCCCTTCCCAGGAAGCTCCATACTCACTCCTTGGGCTCTTTCAGGACCAGGCCCCGAACTACGATGACCTGCCCGGGCATGAGACCCCGGGGAAGGGCACGGGTGCAGGGAACTTCCTGAGAGAAGAGGAGATGACTGAGAAGACCCCCCACAGAAGGCTCTGGGGAGCCACTACCCCATCGCATCCCCCCAGAGCCAGCTTTCCCGGTTCCCTATGTGTTCTGGAGCCCCGGAGCAGACCAAGTTCCATGGCCAGCCTGCAGGCAGGAGGGACTCGCTCTGTCTCCCGGGAGGCCCTGCCCTGATCTACTCCTGATTCCATACCCCCTGGTAAGGCTGGGCTGCTCAGTGATCCCCCCAGTGAACTCCTCATGTGTCCCCCTTTTCTGTCCCCTCATATGGAAGTGGCTAGTTGATTTGTGTCCCAGTGTGTGGAGACAGGGGATAGCTTGTCCACTCTTCACTATTGGACACCCAGACCATAGACAGGCTGTGTCCCCTCCGGAGACAGTGTTAGTGAAACCGGAGCCTCCGTCCAAAGGGTTGCTGGCCCCCCACCACTTGGGCAGTTTTCTCTGGAGAGAGAGGGTGCTTGATGCTGAGTGACCACAATCCCACCCCAAGAGAGGTCTGGGACCTGTTGAGGGCCACTCACCAGTCGGGGGCTCTCCAGCAGGAAAGGCTGTCGGGGAGAGACAGAGGAACAGGGAGGTCTTGTGGAGTTCATGTCATGAAAGGGGACCCCCTGACTGGATTAAATATTTGGGAGACTGGGGGCTTGGTCTCTCTCTTAGAGATAAGGCAGGAGGCTTTCCTGAGTCTGCTGGGCAGAGAGGAGGGGACAGAGGGTCAGTTATGGTGCTCTGTGAGGTGAGGAGCCAGATCCTTTTGTTCCACAGGCCACCTCAGAGGGGGTGTCCCAGGGAACCGAAACTCCAATGGAGAGGGATTGTGTGACTGGAACCTTGGGTCAATTTGAGCTGTCCAGGGACTGAAGTGAGTAGCCTGGTGGTGAGGTTATACCCCAGGGGAGGAAACAGAGGCTCTGAGGCTGTCTGAGGGAAGGCTTAGGGAAGGCTAAGGGAAGAGGTGAGGGAAGGCTGAGGGGAGGCTGAGGGAAGGCTGAGGCTCAGGAGGCTGAAGGAAATCTGAGGGAAGATTGAGGGAAGACTGAGGGAAGATTAAGGGGAGAGGAGTCTGATGGAAGGCTAAGGGAAGACTGAGGGAAGGCTGAGGGGAGGCTGAGGGAAAACTAAGGGAAGGCTGAGGGAAGACTGAAGGAAGGCTGAGGGAAGGCTGAGGGAAGGCTGAGGGAAGAGGCAAGGAAAGGCTGAGGAATGACTGAGGGAAGAGATGAGGGAAGGCTAAGGGGAGGCTGAGGAATGACTGAGGGAAGAGATGAGGGAAGGCTAAGGGGAGGCTGAGGGAAGGCTGTGGGCAGGCTGTGGGCAGGCTGAGGGGAGGCTGAGGGAAAGCTGAGGGAAGGTTGAGGGGAGGCTGAGGAAAGGCTGAGGGAAAGTTGAGGGAAGGCTGAGGGATGGCTGAGGGAAGGCTGAGGGAAGGCTGAGGAAAGTTTGAGGGGAGGCTGAGAAAAGGCTGAGGGAAGGTTGAGGGGAGGCTGAGGGGAGGCTGAGGGAAGGCTGAGGAAAGACTGAGGGAAGGGGTGAGGGAAGGCTGAAGGGAGGCTGAGGGGAGTCTGAGGGAAGGCTGAGGGAAGGCTGAGGGAAGTTTGAGGGGAGGCTGAGGGATGGCTGAGGGAAGGCTGAAGGGAGGCTGAGGGGAGGCTGAGGGAAGACAGAGGAGAGGCTGAGGAAAGGCTGAGGGAAGGCTGAGGAAAAGCTGAGGGAAGGCTGAGGAGAGGCTGAGGGAAGGCTGAGGAAAGGCTGAGGGAAGACTGAGAAAAGGGGTGAGGGAAGACTGAGGGAAGGCTGAGGAAAGGGGCAGCCGGGAGGGAGTCAGTTCATGGTGACAGAGGGGAACAGAGGTTCAGTTAGTGGCTGAGGACTTCGAGGGCCAATCTGGTCCCGCTGAGACTCACGTGTCCAACTGGGTACTCGCTGCCACCCTCCACAAATGGCTGTGGGGAAAGAGAAACCACATGCAGGCCTCAGGCCTCCGCCGGCAGAGGGATTCCTGAACCTGGCCGTCTCGGGGGGGACTGTGGGACACCTGGTTCCTGCGCCCTCTCCAGGCCCACTGCACTTGAACCTCTTGCTCCAGAAGTCTGGGTTTCCAATAAGCTCTCACATGCGTTGATAAAGGCAGCTGTTAGTTCAGGTCACTCTCCGCCTGCCCACGGCTCCTCAGCATTTGCCAGGCCCCACCCACACCCACTGTGGATTCCCCCCCCGGCTCCTGGTCCCCTTTTTGTGTCCCTCCTCTTCCCTCCCCCACAGATGCAACACTAGGGGACCCTCTAGGGTTGCTCTAACTGGTCAGTGTGGGTGGGATGGGCTCCCGGGACTGTCCAGGTATCAGGGGTGGCAGGGCCCGCAGGTGCCTAGGCCTAGGCTCCAAAGGGACTGACGTTGATGTTCAGGAATCCGACGGCCTTCACCAGGATGTCCCCGAAGATGCCCAGGGTGTCTACCCGCGACAGTGGGAGCCGGTAGCTGTAGTGAAGGAAGTGGTGGCCGTTCACGCTCACCTGTGTGTGGTGGGGGAAAACACCGGCTGGGTCATCGGCAACCTCGAGGATACCTTCCCCCAAGGAGTTCATGATGGCTCTAGGAAAGGTGCAGAACTAGGCCTCCTCAGGACCTCCCCTAGACCTCCCGATGCACACAACCCCCTTCAGCTTCCTTCAAGCACTTCCTGTCGCCACCCCCTATACACGTACACACCCCAAGGGAGGAAACAGAGACTCTGAGGCTGTCTGAACTCCAGTTTCGGCTTCCTGGAGCTCCCCCCCCCAGTCTCTCAATTCTGGAGAAGGAAGAAGACCCCGACATCTTTTTGGTCAGTTTACATCAGGGGCCCAGTTCCCTCTCCCTGTGCCCTGCACCTCGGTGGTCAGGTGGTGACCAGGCAGTGCCCACCCCAAGGTGGCAGTGAGAATTCACAATCATGGGTAGCACACAGATGGGAACCTGGGAACTTTCTTGGGCCATATATGCGCAGCCATCTGGACCTAGGGCAGCTTGGAACCCAGCTTGGCAGCTTTTTGGTTCTTGGGATGACTGGTTCTTCTCCAGAGAATCCCGATTAGGGCTGGAGCAATAGCACAGAAGGAAGGGTATTTGCCTTGCATGCAGCTGACCCAGGTTGGGTTCCCGGCATCCCATAGGGCTCCCCTGAGCATCGCCAGAAAATCCCCACTGAGCACTTCTGGATGTTACCCAAGAAGCCAAAACCAAACAAAGTAATAGAAAAATCTCGATTAGCTTTGTGACTCAGAGAGTTTTGAGGGGAAAAAAAAATAGAAGGATCCAAGTTCTAGACTCTGGATGAGCACCCCCGTCTTTCCTCACCTTTACACCCTCATTTCCAAAGAGGAAGAGGAGGAGGAAGCTGTCTCCCCTCTGCATGGCCAGATGTGGCCAGCGGGCCTCCCTCTGCCAGCGGCCACCCTGCAGCGAGTTGCAGATGACGTGGGGCCGGGTGGTGTGGAAGCGCGGGTTAAAGTGGATGGCGATGTCGGGGCGTGGGTCGAGGCTGCAGCCGCACTGGAAGTCCACCTGGAACCTGGTGGGATAGTTGCTCCTCGAGACACTCCCCCCAGCCCCAGGACCCCTCAGCAGTGGGGCGCCCCCAGCTCAGTGCCTCCAACAGCCCCACGGAGACCCCACATACCTGCGGGCACGACGGGGGACCACACCCTGCAGCATGACCATCTTGCCGGCACGCAGGCCACCGAAAATGGTGGTGACATACGGAACCACCTGGACCAGGCGAATGTGGGCAGAGAGGGTTGGGGAGGGTCGGGGGAGGGAAGGAGGAGGCCCCTCCAGGGTGAATGGCCTCAGGTGGCCAAATGACTGAAAGTTCTCCTCCCTTGCCCTGTCCCCTCTTTGATGTCCCTGGCCCCAGCTGCATTGTCCCAAGAGCCCTGTCCAGTCCCCTCTGACCGCTGGACACTAGCCCAGACTTTGTCCCCAGCTCCTGGTACCTGACCCCCAAGTTGCAGAAGGCGTTTTGTGGGACTGTTTGCAGGAGGCCGAGGGAGGGACAAGCTGGGACAGGAGAAGGGTCGCTGATGTGGACCGGACAGCGTCGGGGGTGGCCTGGCTTCCCAGAGGTTCACCTTCTCCAAGGAGCTGCCTGACACCCCAAACTCAATGGGTGATGACAGGTCCACTTCCCCTTCCCCAGAGCACTGCTCCCCCTTCCCCAGAGCACTGTTTCACTTTCCCTGGAGCATTGTTCCCCCTCTCCTGGAGCACTGTTCCCCCTTCCCTGGAGAACTGCCTCCCCTTCCCTGGAGCACTGTTCCCCCCTCCCCTGGAGCACTGTTCCTGCTGCATTTTTGTCACCCTGGGACCAGCTTGACACTCAGGCCTCCTCACATCTGGGGCCCTTCCCAGCACTCCGGAACTCGGTGCCTGGCTGCTGCCCGCGCTCCCCTGGCTCCAGGGTGCTCTTAGGCTGGATGGGCAACCTGGTGGGTGCGCTGGGAAGGCTGAAACCTGCCTCCTCTCTGGCCTCGGAGCGTGGAGTCTGCCTCGGTTCAGGCAGAATAAACAGATCCTGGGACAGGCCTTCATGGGCCTTCACCTTCTGAAAGCTATCTGGCAGGTAGGAGATGACAACCCCGGAAGCCAGGAGTGACGTGGAATGCTGCTTTGCCCTCACAGGCTGTGGGGGAGGCGCAGAGACAGGAGAGAGGGTTCCTCTGCCCTCACTCAGCTAGTCCCCCTGCTAGGTTTCAGGGTCCTCCCCTGCCACGCTCCAGGCCTCCCCAAGCAAACACAACTATACTCTTTTGGGGGGAACTTTCTTGGGGGTGGGGTCACACCTGGCTAATGCTCAGGGGTTACCTGGCTCTGCATTCAGGAATCGCTCCTGACGGTGCTTGGAGGGACCATATGGGATGCTGGGGATTGAACCTGGGTCGGCCGCACGCAAGGAAAGTGCCCTTCCTGCTGTCTTATCGCTCCGTCCCCCAACTCCAGCCTTTTGGAAGGCATTGCCAGTCTCCCAAAAACCGGGGGACAGGGGGAGGGGTGGGCATTGAGCAAGAGCAGAAAGAGAGTGACCAATCCCACTTCCCCATCACCCTGGCACTTAGAGGTTCCTGTCCCAGTCTCCCCCCAGGTTGGAGGTGAAACAGCTGGTCCTGGTACGGTGCCCTGGAGGGTCCTGGCTGCACCCCAGATCCTCACAGCTGCCCGCCTGCAGGCCGGCAGGAAGTTGGGTCCTGTTGCTTCATACATGCAGCGCCCCTCTGCCATCTGAACCCCGGAGGTGGCTGCCACCCCGCTGAACTCAGAGCCCTGGGGGAAGTTCCGGACAGGGTACTGGCGGATCTGTCTGGGGTGCGACTCACCGGATGGAAGGCAGGCGGCTGTAGGATGAAGGTGTCGGGCAGGGGGTCCAGTATTTCCCCAGGTGACATGGAGGGTGGGACACTTTCTTCCAGCAGGGTTGCAGATCCGCTGCCAGCTACCCCCCCCTCCCCCCTGCGCAGGACTCCAGATGCCACTGGCTCTGCTCCTGGCCTCCTGCTGTACAGCTCTGGTCCTAAGTGCCTGGGGCAGCTGTCCCAGCTGTTATGCCACCTGTGCCCTGCAGAGTCCTAATGACGCTTGGAAAAGCTGGGGCCAGGGCAGGGGCTGGGGCACCTCTGCCGCGGTGCCACTCCTCCGTGCCCCCTCGCTGACTGCAGTGGGTGTGACAGACAGCTGGCACACGCAGGCACCACTGACCCTGGGAGGGAAGTTGGGGCGGCGGGGCGGGGCGGGGGCGGGGCCGGACCCTTGGGGCCACCGAGGGTTTGTGTTTTCAGAGCTGGGACCTGAGCCTACAGCAGGTGGTCGCTGCAGTCCCAGGAGGAACCTCACCTTCAGTCTCCTGAACTCCCTGGAGAGCACCCCTCACTTTCCTGCCTCCCCATCTGAGGGTTCCCCGGGACGTCCTCACTTCTCTGCCCTCCCCCTCTCCCGCTTTTGCAAGTTCAAGAGCTCCCCGGGGGCTGTTCTCAGCACCAAGCTCACTCACTGCTCAGTGAGGGCTCAGCCAGGGTCATTAGAAAGAGGGGATGGGGGAGGGGGGCTGGCAGGGAAGTGAGGAAAGGGCGGGAACCAGAGGGCAGTTTGGTGCCAGGGAGAGAGACGAGGCGGTTCAGTGGGTAGCCTATGCCCCCCAAAGAAGGCCTGGATTCTTGCTCAGCCTCTGCTGCAGCAGTGCTGTGTGTGCTGAGACAAGTCACTTCCCCTTCTTTGGGACTCCTGGCATATTTGCATTTTGGTAGGGGTGATCACAAGCTCCTGTCCCCAAGGCACATTTTTATCAAGCACCTCTTATAAGCTTTGGAGCTAGAGACAGGTTTCTCTTCTGGATTAAATCCCAGCGAGGCCTTCTTTCCCTTTAACGGATCTAGGAGAAGGTTTAACGGGAATCCACGCTGAGTATGCAAGGGAGTCTGATGTCCCAGCTGCAGTTTCTATTGCTCCCCCCTGTGCACAGTGCAAGGTGCGCAGGTGCCTGGGGGTCCTGTACTTGCTGCTTGAGGCCTTGGAGGAGGCTGGGGGGGGGGTGCAGCACGAACCTTCAACTTTATGCTGCCTTGGAAGGTGCCTGACTGACCCCATAGTCAGACTTGGCACGGGGCAGCTCTGGCAGGATGGGGCTGGGCAGAGGCTTAAGTTATGGATGCCGAGGGATGTTCCTCTGCCAGAGGGGAGGGTGAGTGCGTCTTGGGGGGTGTGCATGTAGCATGTGTCAGCCTTCCCCCCCCCCGAGTTGTGAGAAATGTAAATCTTTTTATTTAATTTTTATTAAAAATGAGGTACAGTTGTAGACTTACAAATTTTTGTGCTTGGGTTTCAGTTTTATAATGATCTAGTACACATTTCTCCACCAGTGCCCATTCTCCACCACCAATGATCCCAGTATCCCTCCCACCCCCGCATCCCCCATCCCATCCCGCCTCTGTGGCAGGGCATTCCCTTTTGTTCTCTCTCTCCCTTTGGGTGCTGTGGTTTGCAAAAGAGGCATTGAGTGGCAATCATGTTCGGGCAATCATGTTCGGTCTATAGTCTACTTTCAGCATGCATCTCCCATCCTGGGAGGATCCTCCCAACATCCTTTATTTGGTGCTCCCTTCTCTATCTGAGCTGCCTTTTCCCCTAGCATGTGTGGCTGGCCTCCAAGCCATGGAGTGAACCACCTGGTACTTATCTCGGCTATTCTTGGCTGTTAGTCTCCTATTTTGTTACTTTTTGTTCCCCAGATGAATGCAATCTTTCTATGTCTGTCCCAGAAATGTAAATCTTGGGGCCAGGGGGCAACAGCCTGTGGAAGGGGAAGGAGGCTGGGGGCCTGAAGTGGAGATAGGCCTGAGTTCCTGTCCCTGTGTGTGTCCTCCCTGGGGCGGCTGGTGGCCCTGCCTTGGAGTTCAGATCCTGTAGGTAAGGAGGGGCCTGAGGTGCTCCCCACGTGGAGAAATCCGATCACCACCTTGTGCTCAGGAAGAATGATCTGTGTACACATTAGGGTGCAGAGTGAAGGCGGAGAAACCAGTCAGGCAGGAAGTGGAGCCAAACCAGGGTACTGCCCGGCCTCACTTCCGGCTCCTAACCAAATACCATAGACAAGGCAACTTACCAGGTTTGATCCCTGGCCCCTCAAGAGGGTCTACCATGCCCTGCCAGGAGTGATCCCGGAGCATAGAGCACCACCAGGTGTGGCCCCCAAACCAAATCAAAGTACATCCCCCACAACACACACCCCAAAGAAAAACCAACAGGAAAATGTTCTTCTCACAATTTAGGGGATAAAGCCCAGGATGGAGGTGGTATTGGTTTGATGTCGGTGGCTCATGTGAAGCGGGGAGGAGAAAGAGAGTCACTTTCTCTAAATCTGCCTCTGTCACCCGGGATCCAGGGTTACTGGGTTCTTGTCTCGCCTTGCAGAAAGGAATTTCTTTTTTTCTTTTCTTAAAATTTTTATTAGTGACAAACCAAGAGGCAGTTGTAGACTTACAAATCTTTGTGCTTGGATTTCAATTATACAACAATTAAGTACCCATCCCTCCACCAGTGCCCATTTTCTACCACCACGAATCCCAGTATCCCTCCCATTCCCCATCCCCCCCATCCCACCCTGCCTCTGTGGCAGGGCATTCCCTTTCGTTCTTTCTCTCCTTTTGAGTGTTGTGGTTTGCAAAAGAGGCATTGAGTGGCAATCATGTTCGGTCTATAGTCTACTTTCAGCATGCTTCTCCCATCCTGGGAGGAGCAGAAAGAAATTTCAGGAGTAGACAAGCAGTGAAATTGCAGTTTTTATTTGAAGGTTTTGAATGGGAGAGAAAAAGTGGAGAGTATTGCTCAAGAGAGAACCCAGGCTTCTCCAAGGGCAGAGGGAGCCCCTACACACATCCCAGCATTAGACAGGAAAGCATGAAAGTACACATCTCAAGAGGGGAGATGCGGGCTACACATGTGCTCAGGCACCACAAGTGATCGGTCACATGGGTGCAAGCAGCACATGCACTCCGGCAGCATATGCACGTCCTTCCTTTTTTCAAGGTGGCTTTTATAGAGTATCTTCTTGGGATGTCTTGGTCTGGAATGTTCTTTAGTCTTCTCTGGGCTGAATCACTAAAGTTAATAGGATTAAGGGAGAGGTCCGAGGGTATGTGAGGAATTTCCTTCATGGATAGGTGTACAATCTCCTCAGGGTCTGTTGCTGGCACAAGGTGAGGGTCTTCTCAGGCCTTAGTTTCTGTTTTCTGCAAGGTTGGTTTTCACAACTTCAGAGCTATTACTTTCTAGGAAATTTACTGCCATCGCCTGGGGAGGGGGCCTTACTATCTGCCTGCTTGCCTACATCAAGTTGATGGGTCTGATTTTACCAGGCCTTTCTCTTTGGCTTGCAGGTGGGCACCCTTTGGTCTATGTGCTGGTACCCTAAGTTGCTAGGAGGGTCCCCTGTGGGTGGGAGGAGGATAGCAGAGGGATGGAGAAGGTGCATTTCATTTCTAGTTTCCCCTGAATTTTAATAGAGAAGGGGGGACCTGGCTGGGGACTCTGGTCCCTGGTCACATACTCTTCTCACACAGAATGTGATGGAGCAATTGTACCTCTGCCCATCAGTTACCAATGAGTACCTGGGAAACAGAATCTGCTGTCAGCAGCATCAAGGTGCCACAGGTACCACTGAGCTTGGGGCATGAGGACAGAGTGAGCAGGCCCCTAATAAGCCCTGGGAATTCTTGGATCACAAATCTAGGTCCTAGTGTTAGGGCCTCTTGATACACAGTTCCTATAGAGAGATGGGGTTCAGGCAGAGTGCTTGATGCTTGTGGTCCCAGAAATGTTCACACATCTGCCTTTGTGCTTCCACCTAATAAAGGCATCCATGTCTCTGTCTCCCAATTCATCCTAGCTGCCTGAAGAACTGCATGGTTCTTGTTTCTCCACCTCACCACCATCTGGGGGGGTCACAGAAACCTCTGATGTCCTCCTCTGGGCACCACAAGAGCCACATATTAGTGACCAACCAAGACTTACTAAAAAGACTTCTAAAGGACTTTCTTTCAGGAGCCCCTGACGGTCAAACCTTTGCAAAGCAAAAATAATCATGAGCAAGTGTCTTAACCACTTGAAAGATTTTCTGCTCGGTATGGTCCCACAAATTGGTAGAAAAATCAATATAAACAAACACAACCAACTAAAGATGGAATGTTTGTTAAGCATATACAAATAGCACCTATATCTCAATAAAAATATAATTTCAAAACAGAATAGGCAGAACACTAACTAGAGTGGGGGGAGGAAGCTTTTAAGTGGTTAAGACACAAAAACATTTCAATCTCTTTAGTTATTAATGCAAACAGCTTTATTAAAATATTTCACACCCGTTCTCTAGAAAAAGTTAAGTATGGCAGTAACTACAGTAAGAGTTGGTGGAATGGCCATCCACAGGAGTCCCTGCAAGTTAAGGAGAGCTCCAAGATACGGTTACCTTCTAACTTTGCTTCCATTTTAACCTCTCCCAGGAATGCCGTCTTGTCCAGTTAGTGTGGAGTTTTCTAGTTAGTTCCAGTGATGTCATCCTTCCATTCTCCAGAGGTAGGTGATATGACTTAAGCTTGAAGCAATTCCCTTTTCCTTTCCCTCATTTCTTATTCTTCCACTGGGCACAATTGATCTCAAGTACCTTCCTACTTGCCAGGTGGAATGCCACTGACAAAAAAAATAATTTAATAAAGCCAATTACATGTTTAAGTTGATTTGGTTGAATTTTTGTTCTTTTACAAACATATTACTGGTACTACCAATGGGGAAATTCTCCTAGTGTTCTCCTTAGGGATGAACCATTCACACATTTTCTTAGGTATTAAACCCTCTGGAATCTCTTGCATGCCTACACCAAACCATACCTTGAGGGTTT